AACCCTGATGTTTAAAGTCAGCCATATTTGGATATTTCCCACAATAATCAAACCAAGTGGTTATGAAGAAACTCCATCATATTATTGTTCAACATGTCCCAGGGTTTCTCTGGGATCATTGGAACTTGTAGAACTGCAGCATTTTCTAATGATTAGAGTCTAAAGTCAGAATATGATCCACTCACCTCTACATCAACACATATTTAAGTATGGTTGTGATAAAACTGCATCAGATTATTGTTGATCATCAGAAATCCTCAGGCTCAGCTCCACAATGATTTCCAGTTTCTTTACTGTAAATGCAACATGTACAGCATATCCTGAGAAACATTAGCAGCATGACAGCTGAGTCTCAGCTTCTTCTTCTCAGAACATTCCTCTGTTCATTGAATCACATTTAATGTAGTGAGAGGGATTTTTAGCAGGTGCTGAGATCAGAGGCTCCTAAACCAGCGTTTATGGGACGTTTCTGCATTAACCTCCTAGGACCGAGCATCCATAGATGTGGACATCACATCACATTTTGGGATATCCACTTACGAGGACTTTATATTGCTACTGTTCTATCAAAATTTTAAATGACTATCCTCATATGTGGCTCTTAATTTTCTTAAAAACAAAAATAAGGTTAAAAAAATCCATTGGGCCCCAATGTGACCAAATATCAAAGAGAAATTAAAAATGCATGCCGTGGAAGAGTTCAGGTATTAGGAGGTTAAAGATATTTGTATTGGCTCATGGTTTGTCCCCCAGATCAGTTAGGACCTCAGTTTATTCAGTCATGATGGATCTTTGTGGAGGTGCAAAAAGCTGATAAGAACGTAATCTGGACACAGTGTGGCTTTGAACAATCTTCACAGCAGCTTCATTAACAGGGTTGTTTTCCCATTTCCAGGCTTCTTCTTTCCCTTCACCTTCTTTCTTTGACCAGTTCAACTCACAGCAGTCTTTCCCTCTGATTGAGAGACTCAGAATTTTTATGTCATCTTTAACCTGAATATTAATATAAGCTTTACTGAGATTAGAGCCGATCCACACTCCCTCTGTGCTGCTTTCATTTGGACCTGATCAAATATGTCTGATGTGTTACTGTGATCAGTGATCTCTCTGTGCACACTCTGTCTCACATCTGGAGACCCCTCACTGCACACGTTGGTCCATAATTTAGTCCAGTATAATATAATCATTTAAGTCACAGTTATCTCCTTTATTTAAATCAGAAGCACACGCGTACATGGTGAAAGGACTGGCACAGAACACCGTCCTTCAAACCTCCATTACAAACTGAGGTTAAAGGTCGATGATGTCATCCAGACATCATCAGCCAGCAGTGCCTGGAGATTCATCACTGTTTAGCTGATGATGCTGTGATGACCTCATCTCTCCTGGTTGGAGCTCAAAGGGATCAGTGATTTGTAAAAGGAGCTGATGGCATCACCACCTCAGGGCAGACTGCTGAACATGAGCGAGCAGCTCTCTGATGGAGCCTTTAACGCACCACACTAAGTTACTGCCACACCTCCTCTGATTGGTGGAGCCAACATTTCCAATGACATCACTTTCTGTGAGTTTCACTCAGTAATAATTCATTCTTAACAGACACTGTTTTACTTTGTAGATTTCCTTCTTCCTGTGTTCTTCAGCTCTTTGTATCAGTAAACGTCCTCGTTACACTTTGTTTTTAATTGATTTCATTCACCACGTTTGAATTTAAACTCTTCCAGTGCCTTTTAACCAATTCCCACACTTCACCTGATTTCACCCCCAACTCTTAAGCGCAGCATGTTTTTAATATCACTGTTGAATCCATTCAGCAGATCCAGATAACTGAGACATGTGATCTTTCATGTCCAATCAGCTTTGAGGTGGCTGGAGCCACACAGGACAGAGGCTTTCAGCTGCATGTGATCAGAGTAATCAGTGGTTTCCATGGTTACTGCACTCTATTGATATGAGGGAAATATTTTACTGCTATTGTTCATAATCATTATCATTACCATTGCATTAATAATATAATCTACAGCGTTGATTTTGCATTCAGATGTTTAAACATATTGGTACCCAATTAGCCTTTATTGCAGGTGCAGTTATAACCACTTTAAACTGTTGAGTTGAATTTATAATCCTAAATGCTTGTGAATGCTTTGATAATTTTAAATGCTTATATGCTGATTATATTGGGTCATATAAGAAAGGCCCAACTCTGAGTATAGTTTGGGTCTAAAAGTCTTGACAGGAAACTGCAGGTTTGCAGAGCATGCTTTGCATCCAGGAAGCGAAACTAAGCAGAGCATCAGTGACGTGGAGCTTAGAAGGTTAGTCTTACAGCAAAAATAGTAGCTGAGCAGAGGCCTGAGTGTATTCAGCAACCTGCTGCGTTTGAGTTTGCTTGGTAACAGATGACTGAGAATAAGTCGGGAAGTATACTTCTAAAATATCTTTGTTCCCTCTGTAAAGTGTGCATTTTGGTTGTCATTTTGAGGAGCTGTTTGGATGATGCTATTTGAATAACCAGGTTATTCATTATTATCTTTTATTTGTTTATATCTTTTTATTAAGCTTTGAGCAGTGCTATTTGATTAAAACATTTATTCAACATATTACATATATAGTTTCAGTTAGGTTATTACACATAAGGATGAGCCTCTGTTCTGGTGAAAGGTCAGAAGTGCAACAGGTGAGATGAGAGAGCATTTAAGGTCGAGACACACACACACACACACACACACTAGGTAAACTTATTTATAGGTGAAAGTTTAATCATATTTTGCTTGTGACTGCAAAATTGTGTCTGCACAAGTGACAGTTTGTTGCAGAACTGTGCCTGATGTTCCAGACGATAAGCGAGCGTCCGGCAGCGACAGGAAGCACCTGGCTTCAAGGCGAAGAGAATGTTCTTTTCTAACTGTGTTAAAAGTCATTGTGGTTTTGATTTGACGTATGCATGTATTGTATCAGATGACGTGTGAGGGGGCATCAGAAAACATACCCTGACGTTATAAAAACCATTCCTGTGTAGTTTTGGGGCGGAGATCTACAGCTGATGTTTTGCAGTGTACATCTCCCCACGCTGCGTGTGTTCATTAAAATCAATTGTTTGACCAAGCTCTTCTGTACCATCGTTGTTTTTACACTCCTCCTCAATATTGGACCCTTAACAACTCCAATCAAAAGGACTTCCTGTTTGATACGATGCTGCACACTGAAAACTACTTCATGAACAAACACACAGTTACTCGCACAGCTTCTGATTTTAGATTCCAGCTGAGCCCAAAATGAAGCTGATGTGTAAGTTCTATAACAAACATCTGTAATCACACATCTGTCAGCTTCCTGGGTGTTTGGTGGCTAATCTAAGATGACATCACTTCCTCTTTTTCATATTGTTGACATCACTGGTCTAGTCCAACCATCATTCTGCAGCCTTCTTCTTGCCAATCAGCCTCCACTCCACAGACTTTAAATCTCACGGCTCATCTGTCTTTCTCCTCGCAGACTGCTCCTTCCAACACACCTCCACCCCATCTCCACCTCTCCCATGTTACTCAGGCTCCATCCAAGCCTCCATCTTTATCTCCACCACCAACATCTAGAATTCGGGGGTCTTGCCTCTCACCGCGGGGAATCCATTCAGCCGTCATTGGCCATCAGAGTCCAATCACCAAACAGCTCAACTCAATTGTGTTCATCAATGAATCCTATTTAGTTCATCATAATGATCTCTCCTTATTTGTTAGGCTGGATATCTCTGAGATGGTTTGATAACTCCATCAAGGACAGAGACTTCGCTCAGAGACTTAGTTCCAGATCTGCTTTAACCCTTTAAGACCTACCATAGAACTGCCAGAGCTTATCTTTATATTTTTACATGTTGTTCCATTTCTGGGAGCATTTCAAGTTGCTATACATCAATACAACCGTTATAGCCCAAACTTTAATAATATGTATGCATTAAGTGCATAATAACTACACAAATTGCAAAAAGTGCAATAAACTACAAAAAAATTGAAAATCGTTTTTGTTTTGTTTTTAACATATATTTCTAGTTAGAGAAATTTAAGAGGTTTATCCCTCAAAACTGTAAATACAAAAAAGTTGCACAAAATAGTTTGCAACAACAGGAAATTTATTTTGAGTGTCTTCATAGTTTTATAAAAAAAATATTATAATGCAAATTTGCAAAAAAAACCAGCATGTGCATCAAAATAAACTATTTCCAGCAGTGCAATTTGAGTTCTAAGCATCCCAGAAACTATTCAGAAAAGCATAAAGTCAAACATGACTTTTAAAAACACCAGTGTAGGCTTATAAACCCGCAAAGTACTACAGGGGTTTAAAAGTAGTTACGCAAAATGGAGCGTGCCCGCTCCAATCGGTTTTAAAGGGTTAATGAGCCTTAATACTGTGAACCAGAGGTACGTATCAGGGCAAATAACATACCAGCTGAAGGTAGTTGACAGTGATAACATAATTACCCGGAGACACACTGAACCATCTGCTGAAGTTTGATATGCTGATGTCAAACAAACTGGGATCCAATGATAACTTTATTGATTTCACAGAGCAGTAGTGGCTGCTGCCTCAACGCACTGAGGAGGACAGAGGGAAAACCTACAGATTTCACATTATTTGGCTCCTCATCTTCACTTTCTAATGATCCACACAAACTTCAGTAGAGACACAAACACTGGCTGTGGCACAGTGGTGCAGTGGTTAGCACTGTGGCCTCAGAGCAGAGGGTCCTGGGTTTGAGTCCAGCTGACTGACGCTCAGAGTAATTTCCACATGTGGGCCGCGGGCGATACATTGAGTATCACTGTTTGAAATATGAACACTGTTCTGCTCCATTCAATGGACTAAACCAGAGAAGAAGAAAACAGACTTTACCAATAAGATCCTCAGTGTGGAACAGTATAATATCAGCCTGATGTCTGCAGTTTAGTGTCAGCACAACTTTCACATCATATTCATCTCAGCACAACTAAAACATGCTGACTGACCTCAGAGTTTCAAGTCCACATCCTGGACTCTCCAGAAAACCACACAGTTGCTTCACTCCTGAATCCTGCAGCTTGTTCTTAGTCGAAGACCAGATGTCATTACTCAGGTCCAGCTCTCTCAGATGGGAGGGGTTGCACTTCAGTGCTGCTATCAGATAATCACAGCTGATCTCTGACAAACCACAGCTCCACAATCTGTATAAAGAATGAAAGATGTAAGTTTGTTAGACAAAGTGTGAGCTTGAAATCATTCAGTGTTTCATAATTTGTTCAGAGCTGAAGAATGTTGAAGTTTAGAAAATGGAAACTCCAAACAGCTGAAGCCAACAGGAAGCAGCTTCAAAAAACACAAGCAGTCGTACATGTATCATAAAAACAGGAAAAAGACTAGAAAAAGTCGTGTTTTTCCTT